GAAATGGGATTATTCCACATGCAGTATTTTGTAACATCTGTTTTCATTTAACACATCATGAGCTCTTGTCATGTCAATGAATATCGAAACTGAACCCTTAATAACTTATGGTTAGCACATTGTTCCTGTCTGCTACTAACACTTTCTTAGAAAAAAATATCCACTGCATACTCTACGTGGTCCTAGTGAAGAAGATAAGCACAGTAGTCTTTCCCCACATGGTGTGTGGCAGGGAATCAGCTGACCCAGGCCTGACAAATTAGAATTCTCTATGCCTTTAGCTAGAGGGATTTCCTAAGACCAATCAACATCGTTCTTGAGATTTAATATATGAACACTGGGAGAGAGAAAGTCTCACTTCCTTTGGGATTGAGAATTATTAAGACATTATAAACTGAAATTGCTTGCAGCCATCTTTGTTGACTAGAAGAGGAAGCTATCTGCAAGAGGAAGATTGAAGCCAAAGCACAAAAAGCAGCAGAGATAAGTAAAGATGAGAGATGGACAGGAAGATAGAGTATTGATGTACCTGGGACCCTGGATCCAGCCATGCCTGAAGCTACTTCATCTGGACCACAGTTGGTGCTGCTATAAGGGGACATACGCTTTCCTAAAAATCAATGCACTATGCAAAATTGTTCAATAAAAACCACAGGGTTTATGGGGAAAACGGGGCTAGGAGTACAACACTCAAAAACTTTGTCAGTGACACATACACAAAAAGATATGAACCTAATAAAAATGGTAGCACAGTTTTACACATGTTAAATAGTTAAGAAATACATAAATACTACAATAAATATGGTGCTTTATTTTGAAAAAGACTTGAAGTCTGCTTATGGAAATAGGTATCAGAGAGGTTGCAGCTTGGGAGTTATTGTGAAGTGGTGGACGGAGGGTCAGCTGAAATCAGAGGAAAAGTAATACCAGAGGTAGATGGGTGTGGCTCAAAACACACACAAGGAAACGAGGTAGCTGGTAGATGTTTGGGGTATGTATGTGTGTATTCCTATGCGACTTGATTGAGCTGGGCGTAGTTTTCTGCTTTCACCTAATGTTTCTGGCTGATAAAATCACACATAAGCAAACGCAAAATTCACCTTATGCTCAAATTGTTCTCTTAATCACAAAGGAACAGACAAGTGTCATAGCAGTCTGTATTTGATTATGCAAACAAATAAACTCCCTTTTTTTGTTTAAGATAATTCCAGTTAGCTTTCTTCCAGAGTTCTGAACAGTAATACATGGCTACATAATATTCCATTACACATTTTAAATCCCAGGCTGGCTTTTCTGTCTCTCTTAACACATTTCTAGACTATCTTTGTCTACTTTCAGTTCTTGTGTGCTCAGAGATTAATAATTCATTTTAATATTAACATAAACCATTATTAAGAAGGTAAGGTGGACTTGAAAAAGATATAAAGATTTCAAAGACAAAGAGAAATGATTTTTTTGAATATTTACTATTATAACCTGTAACACAACTGACCTTTCAAACAGATAATTAAGGGTTGATGATTATAGAATTTTATCTTGGCTCGGAGAAATTTTGGCCAGTTTCAGAATGATTTTTTCATAGATTCTGATACTTCAAAATCCATAAAAACCCTCACAGAGATTGCAATATTAAATCTTTTCATGTCAATATTGTATCTTCAAATCACCTAACCTTGTAGATAAAAGTTTTTCCCTGAGTTATCACGTTAGCTCTTGTTTGTAACAAAAGCCTACATGCATTACACACGTTACAAATGATTACACTTGGGGTTGGAGCGAAATTGGCCCCAAGGATACTACCAGTTTGTATTATTCTTGCCAAGAGGAGAGAGCAAGCATCCCACAGACAAGTTGTTCCATACAGTGGCTGTGACCTCAAGCCTTTGGAATTTCTAAGGAGAGTTTATGCTACGCAGATAAGGAAGCATAAAAAGTTTCCTTAAACTTACCTTAGCCTTAGACCTGTGTAGTTTTTAAAATCATTGGGACTGAGCCAGGTGGGAAAAGGTTTTATCTTCATTTTCATCTATATGTATGATTTTGCTGCATTATACAATTCTGTTGTGAAACTGATTCAAGTAACCATTTAATTTGAGTATACTTTCAGTTCTGGGGTACCCTAGAAATAGCATCCCACGGACCAAGAGTCAGCAAAATTTTTCTGTAAAGAGCCTGATGGTAAATATTTTAGGCTTTGCAGACTGTAGAGTCTATGTCCCAACTACTCAACTCTGCCCTGAGAGCAGACATGTGCAATACATAAACGAATAAGCCTGGCTACGTTCCAATGAAACTTTATTTACGAAAACAGACGGCAGGACAGATTCATCCAACGTACCATAATTTGCTAACCCCTGCTTTGGACTAGTAGTTTTCAATTTTTTTTTTTTTAAATGGAACCTTGGTGTAGTCTCTGGAGACTCAGGGAAGGCCAAACAGGCAGGGACCTGAACTATTCCTGCTTCAACTAGAGCAGTTTTTATTTTTACGATATATGGACTTTTGCATGAAATTAGGTTTGATTAAAGGGTTCCATTTCTAATAAGGAGAAAAACTTCAAACTCACTGTCTTGGACTAAACCTAAAACCTGCTGCTTTAAAACTCAAGAACAGATGTTACAGGCAAAACAAACACATCTTTTGACATCTTTAAAAATGATAGGTGGTACCCACGTGTTTTGACATTCCCAGAAATTCACTTTCTCATACAATTGATAAAAGCATTTAAATAGACAACTTTAATAGCTCTAAAAATGTTTTCATCTTATCATTCCTATTCCATTTTGACTTTTTCTAAGTATAATGTTTAAGGTACCTTAAAAGGTCCAAGAGAGGTGGTATGGTATAGTGAAAAAAAGCATCCAACTAGGACTCCATATTTGTCTCCATTGCCAGATCGTGAGCTCCTTCCAGGAAGACAGGAACTAAGTTGTCGTCTTCATCTTTGAATTGTCCTCAGCACCTAGAACAGTACATTACACCAAACTTTAATTTTTAAGGCAAACATAAATTCATTATTAGATAACTAGGAAGAGAATAACTTCAGGTTGTTTGTTTACTTACATCTTTCCATAACATAAGGAAAAAAGCATATCTTTCCTAGTGAGCAACAAAATAACAGGTTAGTACTTTGAGATACATTTTTATGCCTAGAAAATTAATATGTTTAAAACACATAAAAGCTAATAATTACTAGATTGTGACAAAAGTCATATCCTCACAAAGATCCACAAATCTCTTGTCCGCAGTTCTGAAATCCAAAAAGCTCTGGAAACTAAGAATTTTGGTTTGTTTAGCAATCTATTTGAGAGTCAAATTGATCTAACTTAAACTTACTTGTCAGTAGTATCTGACCTGAACTGAATGAGGCTATTTACTGATATTTATTTACGCCGTATGAATAATCATACGGTTTGCTGCAAAAATAGTACCATATTTGATTATGCCGTGTTTTCCCTGAACTCCCTCGGGTGTTACAGAATATACAGTATATGGCATTTGGTTTTACACAAGTCCACCAGACAACACCAGATCTTTTCCTGGTTGCTTTACAAGGAGGAATCTAGAGCCCCATTCCAGCGTCTCTGAGGCCATGCCCCTGGTCCCAATCCTTCTTTTCCGCCGCCATTTCGAGCAATAGTTGAGGCTGCGCTAACAGCTCAGAGAGCCTGCCTGTCATGACGTCAGTGGGAAAAATAAATGTGCTTTGCGATCATATAGAAAATCAATGTTATCACTTTCATGCTCAATGACCCGTTATTTAAGAAAGAACATCTTGGTCTTTTAAAAAGTACCTTTGTATTTTCATCACTGGACTTCGGGCAGTCGAGGATCAGAATTAAGTTACTAGCTCTTAGCCTTGCAGCGGTGTCTGCTCAATATACATTTACCATCTGACTGACGCACATCTTGGCCAGCATGTACGGATTTTTCTCACATTAAGCGTGGGCAACAGATATTTGCAGAGAAAAAGTAACCGGAGGCCCTATGCTGGCTCAGCTCCAGCAGCATATCCATTATTACTTCATGGAACTGGCATACTCCCACGTATCTCTCACCGACCCCACCCTCTGGCCGGCAGGACCGTATTTAGGGATCTCAATTAGAGATCTTGTTATAAATAGGGCGGTTTACTCTTGTAACGCTAGAGGTGGTAGACCTGCCTACGCCCTAGGGTGGGATATTCCGGGCTTTGATAAGTGAGGACGACGTAAACGCAAAGCACAATGCCAACGTTTTTTCCGACAGCATTTTCTCGCAAGTAAAAAGCACACTCAAAATCACCCCTCTGAAAAAGCCTCTCTTTGGAAGCGCAGAGTTAGGCGGGTACGACGCTCTGCCGGACCCCACCAACATGAGCAGCCGCCCCTCGGAGCCCGGGCACCACGCCGCTCCTGCGCAGGTCCTAGACTCCTCCCTTCAGGAGGCTCATCCCCACGCTTCTCGGCTACTTCCGGCTCTCACCTAATGCCCTCAACGCGCTTGCGCCGTTTTGATAGGCTTCTCGAGTAGAAGAAATCGGAGCGCTGCCTCTCTGGGGCCGCCTCCGCCTCCTCTTCGCCCCGCCCACGCCCTACCGTCCGCTCCGGAAATCTCGCGAGGGTAGGTGCGCGTCCGTATTTTGCGGGCAACCAGCTCTCCCAGCTGCTGTAATTGCTGCTGCGGGAGAAATTGGAGCGGCTGTCGTCGGCGCGCCCGCCCTCCCCCACTGAGGAGAGCCACCGCCTCTTCTCTCGCTCTCCCTGTACACCTATCGCCGGGAGCGGCGGCAGCAACAGTCCTTGGACCCACGGCCGCCTCCTCAGGCGGCCGCTCTGCCGGTCATTCTCGCAGCCCGGCAGCCGACGGCGGCCCCCTGCCCCTAACGGCTCCTCACTCCAGATCATCTGCTCCCTCCTCATCCTCGCCCGGCACCCACCTCCCCCCGGTCTCGCTGGTGAGGAGGACGACGAGGAGGAGACCAGAGTCACCCTCTCTCCAGGCGACGCCAGCCCCCTCACCCGCGGGTGTGTCCTATAAATGGCGTCGGAAAGCGACACCGAGGAATTCTTTGATGCCCCTGAAGATGTGCACCTAGGGGGCGGCTACCCTGTAGGGTGAGTAACTGTAGCTATGGCCCAGAAGCCGGGCGTCCCGGTCCCCCGGCTACCCCCGTGCCTTCTCCCCACACCCCTCCCCGGTCCCGCTGTGTCCGCCGCCGCTGCTCCTCTCAGTCTCACTCGGGCACTTCAGAGGGAGTCGGGGGAGGGGGAGTCGCCCACCTCGGGCACATCCCCTCCTTTCCCTGGTGAACGGCCCCAGCGGCTCTCTCGGAGCCCCTTTCTCGTCTTGTCCAGCTTCTGCGAGGTGGGACAGCTTAGGTGCCTGAGAGCCGGCGATTTGTATTTGTGGGGTTCAGAGCTTACCTTTGAAACATCCGTTTTGGCCTTGGGGACCGTAGATTAAAGGAGCAGTAACAGGAGAAATTACATTTCGCATCTCTTTCTTTCTTTTGCCGCTGACTTACCTGTTCGTTTCAAAGGGAGCTGTAACTCTCCCTATTCGCCGTCCTCTTCGCTGCACAGAAAGAAGAGGAGCGGGAGAAAGGTTGCGTGTTTACTTGGGAAAGTCCTCTAGCTGATGTACCTCTAGATCAAAAGGGTTTTATTAAAATAGCACCTTACCGTGAGGCAAAGGAAATCGAAGACAAGGTCCTTTACCATTAGGAAGAACGCGGTCTTAAAAGGGTAGCCGGACATAAACGTACACAACCGACTACAGGGATACAAACAAGTGCTGAGTAATCTGGTGGTTGGAAGGAGAGCCACAGCTTTGTGCTCTTTATCTAATTCTGCAAGATGTTTTAGTGGTGATTAATCTGGGAGATTCTGAGTAGGAAGTCCAGTAGTTGGCGTGCTTCGCTTGACTGCGACTTCTGCTTACCCACTCCTCCACTTTTCAAAGTTGAAATAATGTTTAAAGCAATTTCACCAAACTCTTCTACAGACTTGTGTGGAACTAGAGGCAGTGAAATATATTTTCATGCTATAAGAACTAGAGAAGTGGTAAAATTTGTATGTTAATATAAGTCCCTAATATGGTTCCAGGAGTCAGCTGCCTTCAGTTTTCAAGCTTACCCGGTAGAAGAAATACCTTGTTTGATGTAAATAAAGTTACCTGTACTTTCTAGAAGTCGTTATAAAACCTAATATATATTATGTGTAATATATACCAAAAAAGTGGCAGCAACAAAATCGAAAGAAATGTACTTTGGTAGATGGCTGATGTGTGTGTGTTTCCACCAACCTTCATGTCACCATTATGGGATTTTGAGTGACGCTGGCCGATCTTGAGATGGCACTGAATCTCCTTCAAGTTCAGTATCTGACACAAGTTCATAGCTAGATGGTAGAGGATAGAAAATACATTTGGATTTCCAAATACTTTGGAGTCCCTTGAAATTAAATTTTGTTTTTGTGGTTTTCCCCTCAAAGTAATCAACTGTCAGTTTAGGTTGAATAAGGCCTAATCCTTTAGTACTTTTGTGTGTGTATGCGAAGGAGGGGAGGAAAATAGCAATGGATGTATATGATTTTAATCAATTTAGAACTATGTGAATATTGTTCCTTTTCAATGAATAAAGCAAATTTAATTTTTAAGGACAGTTATATCAGGACCTGTGTAAACTGCTTAGTCCATTACCTGGCACAGAGAAAGAACTCAAATGTTCATTCTCTTCTGACTTCTTTTCCTGCAAATTTAGCTTCACACAGTGCTTACTTTGGGAGGAAGTATGCAGAACTTGGAGCTATTTAACTTATCTAAACTGAATGAGTCATTTTGATAGAATTGATAGAGTCACTTCTTCTCTCACGGGACAATATAGCTTCTCAAGCACTTTGATCCTTTGATACTTGGTGAAAAGTAAAAATGTCTCTTGGGACCCAGCATTCTAATTTTAACTCTGACCTGCCCAAATATTGAGCATTTTGAGCTCTGTGGTTAAAACTGTTATGTCAGTCTGTGAATTTCATGGCTCTATCCTGTATTAGTGAGGGGATTTGGAAGAGAATTAGACTCATCTGGAGAACTGCATCTGAAAAGAACTAGCAGTACTGGGAGGACAGCAAAAGGTTGGCATCATTAACATTTTCTCTGTCCTTTGTGACAAGTTTTGTTATTTGCATAAGGTACTGTGAGGAGGCTTGGCTGGGTAACTAACAACCTAAAAATGCAATGAGAATTCTTGATTTGTGGAAACAGATGGTGCCACTAGATATCTGGTCATGAGAAATATCTTCTGTCCCTTGATATGAACTGGAGTAGTGGCATACCATACAAACTCTAAGATTAACAGACTGAGTTTGGGCACTTCAAGAAATGTTCCTTGCTATTGCATGTTCTAGAGTACACAGACCATTTCACCAAATTGTAGTAAGCTGAGTAGGCAGTTGCGAGTTATCTGGTGTGTTTTGTTAATTAGCAGAATCCACATACACAATCCCTTTCCTAAAATTGATTTCTTCTATTTCCACTCCACTGGTGTCTTCAGCTTTGTTATTCTACTCTTTGAAAGCAAATTTAATAAGTTAAAAATCAGCCCAGTTTTTTAATAGAAAGACTTTTGATTCCAATGCAGCCTACTTTTCCACAGTGGCAGATCATCTCCGCGTGCCCAGCTCTGCAATATACACCATATTTATAATGCTTTATTTTGATTGATATTTTAGGTCAGGTTTCCTTATTCTTATCTCTCTTTTTACATATGAGAGACCTTAGACTCAAAGAAGTTAATGAACTGGCCTAGGAGACACAGCTTGTAAGCTGCAGAGCTGGGATTTGAAACCAGTTCTTCAGACTCCTAGTCCAGTATTTTTTCCTAGTACATCATAGCTGCCCCAGACTGTGTGGGTGTGGGTGTGTGTGTGTAGAGGGTATTCCCCTCTAAGAGATTCTGGAGTAAAACGCTTTAGGACCAACTTGTTGAATTGAACTGATGCGTCTCTTTAAAACCAGCAGCCCAAACTTTTCAGTTCTCTTGGCTAGAAATTCCCACTTTCTAGGAATACGTATTTTGTTTGTCAGATAGGAATTTTATTAGATCATAGCATGTTACAGCTAGAAGGGACATCTAGTTAAACTCCTTCATATAAAATGTGAAAACCATAGCCTGGAGAGGGAAAATGACTTGTCCAAGGTGCCACGGCAAATTAATGTCAGAGTTAGGACTAGAATCCAGATCACTTTCACAGTCTGCTGTTCTTTTTGCTACCGTGCTGTCTTTTGATAAAGCAGGAAAGCAGGAGGAAGTGTGGTATAGTAGAAAAAAGCCTGGGCTATGAGTCATTTCATTTCCTCATCTTTAAATTGAGGAGATTACACTCTGAGAACCTTTCCAACTCTACAAGTCTGTCCTTGTGTTGAGATTTAATAGTGTGCTTTTACTGAAAAGCTTTTGTTCTTGGGAAATCTTTCCATGATCTTTTTTTTTTTTTTAGTTTAACAAACTTGATTGTATTGGGTACATGATTCAAGACCCATAGATTTGAAATTAGATATTTACTGGGTAAATTATATATGAGATGAATACTCCTACTGGTTTGTGTGGATTATACATACACATACTAAAGGCTGGCACTGAGAACATGTTATAAAAATAAACGTGACATTTTGAGCATTCTTTATTTTAAAATTTTTTGTGTGGCAACCAAAATATTTTTGAGGCCTTGGAAGGAAAGATAGAATGGTAACGTTTTTAGAGTAGGAAGGGACCGGAGATCGTAGCCCAGCCCTCCCATTTAACTGAAAGAGAAACCTAGGCTCAGAGAGGGGAAGTGACATATTGCTGATTAGTGGCAGACTCGGAACTAGAACCCAAGTCTCCTGATTCCTCGTTTATAGTGTGCTGCCTTGTCTGTGGAAGGAGGGAAAGTATTGCCTGGCATCCTGCTCTAGGTTTCTGGCACTTACCCTGTTAGTGGGGCTCCTAAGATGGTCTCCTCCTATCAGCTGTGATTCTGTTTCTTCATGGAATGCTCTCAGAGGCCCTTGACTGTTCTAGGATCCTAACTTTTGCCCACAAATTTTCTCCCAAGTCAGGATGAAAAACAGTGGCAGAATAGCTGATCTAAGAACAGTGGTTGTTACTCGTTTTATTTTATTTTTAGGAGTCTAGTTAGTGTCAACCACAGTCTATCGTTTTAGGTTGGAGTAATGGTGAAATCTTGATTTTTAAGTCATGAGAACAGAGATCAAATTGTCCCGAAGAATTGTTCAGTCTAAAAAACAAAAAATTGCATGGCTGCCTTTGTTGCAGCTCAGCTTATCATTTTATTTAGGCATCAGAAACATTTCTCTCTGAATTGAAAATTGATATATTTCAGTAAAAAAATTTCTTTTGCGATATGGGTTACTTTAGGAAAGATTTCTTAAAAATTGCTGTTCACAGGTTGGGATTTAATATAGATTATATTTAATCATGGATTGTATTTGATTGCTGTTGGCTTTGTTGATTGATAGAATATTTATAAATGCTGTTTTGTTACACCCATGTAACATCATATTGAAGTGGAGGAAAAACCTTCTACATATTAATTAGTAAATTCAAGTTCTATATTTAGTGGCTTCCAACTGTCAATTGGTGACTCATGGAAATAGGACAATCCTTAGCAGTATGGCAGTTTGGGGGCTCAATTTGAATCTGTAGAAACTCCTGTAAACTGAAAACTTCATTCTGTTCTTGTGATAACCTACTTCATAAAATAGGGCAGATAAAATTTGATCTTTAAAAATGTTAAAAACAGATAGTTTAGGATGTTGACAGTTCAGTGGTGGTCCTACAGAACAGAAAATAATTTCTAATTGTTGGTATTAGAGACTTATTGCGTAACCCTTACATTATACAACAATCCATGTGTTCTCTTCGGTTCGTTGTTTTAGCTTTGACAAAATCAGGGGAATTTGCCAGGCAAGCCCCTTAAAGAGGCTGTTTGTTTCCTCCTCAGATTCTGTCTGCAATTCTGGTAATTACTTCCTGGGGGTAGTGTAGGTGGAGGAAGGGAGTGGTGATGGGGGTGGTGGTGATGGAGATGGAAGTGGTGAAGGTAGCCCTAGCAGC